AGCATTTGTTTGTTTCTGGTTTATACGGCAAACGTCGAACTTCCTGTAAATGGTCTGAAAGTCCAAACCATCCAAAAAATGCATTCACACAACGAACCGAACCATTGTTCAGTTTGATCCGGACCAAGACTCTATTTGTCAGACCAAATTTCGTCTGTTTGGTCCGGACTTTGGTCCCGGGGACGTTTCACACCTGTATTTTTGGTTTGGACCAAACTGTAAAGTCCAAAAGTCCGGATCTCAACTAAGTGAAAATATTTCAGAACTGGGTGTCTATTGGTTTATGGTCTGTCTACTTATTTTGGTATTCCTCTGCCTTCTAGTGGCCAAGAATCAATTAATGCAACTCTAAGGAGGAAAAACACAATCCAATTGGTTCAAGTGCCTGCGGAAACATGAATCTGCTCTAGACTTCTTGACCAGACACTGAATCTAAATTTCTAGCAGTGTAGTTGCACGGTTGACCCTTTACTCTCTTAACACTGTAAAGGGAAAATATTTTCCTTTATGGATCAACAGCAGGTCAAGAAATCTCACAAAAAGACAAAATGGCACATATTGAAACTTGACTTTTTCCATTTTTTGCAAATCTGCCTCTGAGTCACTGTTGGTCTCTCATTTCATCTTTTTATAACTTTTTAATAACATTTTTTGGGTTGCAGAACTGCATTAAAAAGTCAAATATTGTGACTGTCTGGAGCAGAATATTGTACCTTCAAAATGTCAAATATTCAGAGTAAGTTAAAACTGTCTTCATTTGACTGAATTGAATTTTGACATATCCACTGACATGTTGAAGGATTTCATCAGCCTGAAAAGCTTGGATTTTCTCCTTTCACAGTGGAGAAAATAATTTAACACTTACAGTTTTTCTCAGTCGCTTTTGTGCATTTCTCGAATCATCCTTAACATTTGCAAAACAGTAAGTGCATTTCTCAAAATAGGTAGTACAAACGGCACAACACAGTGGTTTACCTGCAAAAACACATAATTCAAAATCCTTAGTCTATCTCTCAAAAGCAAACCTTTATGTCATTGAACTTGTCAGTGCCATCAGAACGACAAGTCCTTGTGTCTTGTTTATGAACAAGCAAGTCAACATGTTTAGCCATCTTGTCAATATAACAGAGTACTCTGTAAGTATTTTCTGATGTACATTTTGGCTAAGATTTTGATGACAATGATTGAAAATGCACAAGGCTGCACTTTTTTTGTATGGCATATATCACTTTCACCAGTACAAAGTTATACATTGCAGGAGAGAGGACAGGAATCACAGCTCTGCTTTTACTGTTCGTACTGTAATTTGTTGAGAGAGCATGTCATTGTAAGAAGAAAAGAAAGAGACAGGACTGTTGCATGGGATACACCCCTTTGGCTGACGTTCCGGTCTTTTGTATCCCAGATTCTCTTCCACATCACAACAGATATCTTCATCGATTCAGGTTTACACATTTACAAAAAAATTCTAATAGACATGTATAGAATGTCTATCTATATATATTACTGCTCACTGTGTATTGTTACTGTTTACTGGTACTGAGTATTGGTATGAGTTTTTGATAACGTGTTCAACCATTTTGCATGTAGTGACTAATGCAATGAACTTATGCCTAGATGTTTTGGGGGGTAAGATTATTCAACAGAGACTGGTATAATTCATTGTGATCAGCAGGACATAAGCAATTGATAATGTAGGAAACAGCAGACAATTGTACATAATCATTTGCATCAGTGTGTCAAGTCATTTGCAATTTGTTTAAAACAATAAGAAAGTGCTTTTATGATGTGCACAAGTGACAAGATGATGTGGAGGTTGAACAATTAGTTTTGAGAATTTCAATTCTGATCTGAGAAATGCACCAAAGCGACTGAGAAAAACTGTAAAAATCCTCTGTTACCTTGAACAAAGAGCATAAAGTTCAGACAATGAAGCCTGACAAAACAAAAGAATTTGATTTCAGATGTTTTTTTGAGAGCACCTCTTGAAACAAGCCCGAGTGAGTCAAACATACCATGGGCTATATTCTGTTAGCTAGTCGGTCTCTCACCTTCCAGCGTTGCCAAGCTTAGTGATTCATTCATGCAGGTGCTGCCAAAAAGACCTTGGGGGCAACCGACAGCCCTGCTCGGTGCCAGTCTTGTGAACTAGCAACACTCACATCCACTGTCAAAATGCCTCGAATACACAGAGGACATGTAGCGATGATGTCTCTGAAAACAAGATCTCTACTTTTGAAATCTGCTTTGACCCTCTGAAATGGTCTCATCCTTTCTGTGCCTCCTCAAAAAACAACACAGCCATGCAAGCAGATCTGTGAGGCTGTACTTCAGCAGGTATCTTTTTTTTTTACCATGTTCACCATCTTAGGTTTGTCTGTTAGCATGCTTGTTTCCTAATAAAGTTGAAAATGCCCAAAAAACAAACAAACAAAAAAGCTGTTTGTGTTGTTGTAATTTGTCATAGCTATGAACACACAAACATGATAGAAATCACTGAAAAAAGATGCTCCTCATAACTCCAGAGTCATCACATCACATTCTCGTAATCGAGTGACTGGTCATCCATTGGTATGCTGCAAAAATCAACTGCTATTGCTAATTCAGCATACTTTTAACCAGGGATGGGGATCATTGATTTTTATTGATATTGATACCATTATTGAGACTGATTAACAATCTGTCTTTATCGATACCACTATCGATACTTTACCGTTATATGGTTACAGTTATTTGGTAAGACCAGACCCAACGGGCATGAGATAGGCCTGCACGCTATGAGGAAAATATTCAATGTGCGATAACATTGTTATATATTGAGATGACATATGACTTGCGATATAAACAAATTTTGAAGTGTGCATATTAACTGCCTGGTTGTTTTTAAATTAATTATTGGATGAGAATTTAATTTCAAATATAACTGTTTTTTCTAGCGCTGCAACATTAATGTTTATAGCAGCAAATCACAAAGCACATCACAATACTGAGTGACGTTTAGAAAGAATAAAAAACTCTGAAATGGGAGTAGTTGAATGAAAGATGCACGGACACAAACTTTCCTCAGATCATGTGTGTAATGACTGTTTTCAAGAAATCATTGCAGTACAGTTTACATATGCAAAATAATATTACATGCGTTATACATACAATTCTAACCATTATCTCTAGTCAGCATTTATACCTGCTGAATCATTTCCCACTTTTAATTACACCGTAAATACGATAATACACAAGAGATACAAAACACAATTATGCTGATAACATATAACACTTTACACCGCTAATAATACTCAGTACATTTTAGAAACGTATACAGAACAAAGCTACGACAAGTACAATGTCACTGCATAGCTACTAAGTGCCGCTCTTTCAACCACGATGTCGCAGTTAGCGTTACTAAAGGCTAATTTGGCTAGCTTACTCGTCGTCATGTAATTAACGTCCTAACTTCACAATGTTCGCTTAATTGTGCTAAAAACACTCTCTTCGACACATGTACACATTCACATAACACTCTGGTAAACAATAACATATATTATAAAAGACTCATACCTGATAGGGGAGTAGCTGAATAAAAGATGCACGGACACAAACTTGGTGCACCGTAACATAGCTCAACAGTTTTATGTTCCCCCTGCTGGAGCCCTCTAGTAACTACAATACTCTTGTTCACACTTACTGCTGCTATTGTTAGAACGATATTTTGCACATGAAAAATAAGAAATAAGAAAAGTACTGTACTGTGACTTCTGCAACTAACAATAACAACTTTAACCATAACTTATGATATACCATTAAAATATGAGAATGGCAAAATTACTAAATCTTAAACCCATTAACTGTTACTCTACTGCTTACTCAAATGCTTGCTCTGACTTACTGGTAAAACACATTATTTCCATCTGTCACACTTCCTCCTCCTCCTCTCTGCTGTTATTCACTGCCAGCAGGTAACATTACCCAGTAGAAGGAGGAGCGGCTGGTTTGTCTCAGCCAGCAGCTGAGTTTTTAACAAGGTGCCAAATTTTAAGACTATAGACCACTCAATGCTACAGACAAGCAGCTTTCTATTTAGTATGTTTGCAACATTTGGATAATGCCAAGCTAATGTTGTGCTGTGTTTGTATAAAACATACAGGATGAGAGACTGAGGACAGAGCAGTTTAAATGAACCCTTTATAATGTTGCATATTTACCCAACACACAGGTGTATTAATATTGTAATGTATTTTTACTCGTAAAGGTTTTATTGCACGTATCAACTCGAGTAGTTTGGAGCTAACTTAACTTGCTGCTAGCATGGCTAAAAGAAAGTATACCAGTCTTGTTCTCCAAAATGCAGCAAGGCAATGATGTGTTTGGATGATAATCTAGTGCCATTTTATCAAGGGCTTTGTGTGACCCTCTGGAACATTGGCCTATTGTCTCTCAAAATATGTCACCCCTCACTGGTTATCTTCCAGTCACTTCTATGTCTGAGTTGATGGATGAGCTCTTAACTGTTTAAAGCACTAACATGAGCCCACAGGAAGAAGATGTATCACCCATCAAGCAGCTCATCACAAACGCCATACAGAGGAGGGGTGTGTGGGGACTGGAGAGGAATAAAATGTGGCTACAAATTTAAAAGTGGATAGAGGAAAACTGTATATCACCTCTCCCAGTCTGTCCTACTTGCTATGATTGTCTGACCTCCTCCTCCTCTTTCTGCTCTCTTGACTTGTCAGTTAGAAATATTTAGGCCGAATGATCTACAGCTCTTCGATCGTCCTATTTTGCCAACTCCTTCTCCTTGTCCACGGCCATTTCTTTCTTTTCTTCTTACTTTTTCCTTTCTTACTCTGTTGTCTTCTGCCTTTTCCCTTTTTTAAAAATGTATACTGCATTTATTCTTCAGACAGATGCCCATTATCCCCTTTGTGGTGTTTTCTTCCTCACTGATAAATGGTGTGTTCAGTAACTCAGCTGTCCTCTCTCTTCCCTTTGTGTCTCCACAGTTCTTCATCCTCCTCCTGCTCATCTTTTTCCTAGAGATTCTGTCCATCATGCTTTTCTTCATCTATCAAGACGAGGTAAGACACCTTGATTGCTCTCATCACGTTATATCGTGTGATTTTCTCCAGCTGAACAAGATAATAAGTGGCTGTGGAATAGCCCTTCATATGTCCTGCAGATTGCTGATGATTCAGATTGAAGCTGGCATGCAGAAGGATGTTCCTCAGCAGTGAGGTTGTTTTTAAGTTCATATAAGCAGTGTTGTTTGTTTGTTTAAGAAAAGAGTATGCCAGCTGACACTCTGCATAAATGCTGGTCTAATGAAACCACTTTGGTTGATGCACATCTTTGGGGAGATATCTCTGGGCTACAAGCGGAAAAAATACACTGTCCACAATTTCCCTTCCTTGTTAATAAATCTCAATTTATCTCATCTCATCCATTTTGGATGATTTCCCCTGTAAATAAACAAGTCAGGCAAGTGAAAAGAAGCGGATGGGCTATCCCTCTCCTAATATGAATTTGTAATCCCTTCACATTTTTAGCAAAGGTTTTAATAATGCATTGAGAGGGCATGTTAAATTCTATCCATTTTAATCTTAATTGAGGGTTTGAGGGCTGGATTTTGGATGTGTTCTGAAATTTTTACAATAAGTATAACATATCACTGTTACATGTTTTTGCAAATATTAAACCCTAAAGACTCATGTGTAAGCAGTGACAATGTCTATTCTGTTCTCTCCATAAACATTAAACAGAGAATAGCAAATATCATCTTGACAATGGTTATTAGTTTGACTCTGTGAGATTAGTGTGATGGACACTGGAGAAAAAAGTCTGGGTTGATGCAGTTTTAAAATATGGTCCAAGAGCCTTCTACTATCTCAAAGCCCTTGAAAATTCTGCAGGCTATATGTTATCTTGTAATGCAGAACTGTTGTTGCCACAGTTTTTACTTAAATTAAATTCTTAACAAACAACATTATTTTTAAATAAAATTTTACTAGTTAAATTAAATTACAGGCAACATGGCAAGCAATACCAACTGTGTAGCAGTTTTAGAGTAACTGATAATAAAATGTTACAAAAATGCTCCTAAGAATTTCCTAGAGCACAAGGTGATGCCTTTATTTTGCTTGTTATGTGGTATATTTATTATACAATCTATAAAATAGAGCAAAACAGCACTCACATATTTGAGAGACTGGAGCCTAAGAATATTTAAGCATTTTTGCATGAAATATGACTAAAATATTAATCAGTTATCAAAATTGTATGTTGTTAGTGTACAGTATATTAGGTGTTCTCCAGATACTTTAATATGACCACTGCAAGGTGCAGTGGACTCCAAGTTTAGATCCCCATCATAAATCATTGGCAATTTCTCAACCATTTACATTATTCATAAGTTGAGACAGATAACGTTATCCCCGAAGACTTAGGCCAACCATGATTCTAATGCCTTTTTACATTTTGGTAAATAACAACCTATTTTCATATTTTCCCTACTGTCTGTCTGAATTATATTTATGACCACAGACCTTGGACCTCCATGTACTTTGTACTAGACTTTATCTTTTTGTTTCTGTAATTCTGACATGGTTAAATGATTGTCTAATGTATTGTAATTCCATCTCAGTTTGTCTTTGGTGGTGTAACCCAATGAGTTTTTCTGGACTGGCGCGTTCTTCTGGGCTTTCAGCCAGTTAGTGCTGCTCGGTTTAGCTTTTAATGAATGTTGTCTTTTGTCAAGCCTCACCTTTCTCATACTATCAGTGTTCCCTGATGTTCAGTGCACCCCATTATTCAGCCTCTGAATAATTCAGTTTTGTCTACCCAGGAGGCGATTAGCGACAGAACACAGTAAAAAGTTAGTGATGGTCTAGATGTTTTGCAAAGCTGGTGCACTGAGGGAAATCAATCACAGTAAAGAATGGGTGGCCATTACCAGTACTGCCATTGATATTTTTTAAAACAGCATGGGACTTGTTTACTTTGGAAATTGCTGAATGTGATCACTTCTGGAAAACCGCACAAAACCTGTTGGCCCACAGTAAAATATCACAAAGTGTATTTAACAACATGGGCCACTTTATTATGTTGCAATGAAAGTACTTTTGAACATTAACTTTTACTTACTTTAACCCGTTTAATCCCAAATCTTTCCTAGCAATTTGAGTACATGGATTTTACTCCTTAGACCTCCCTAACACACACACTGTATGCCCCTATGTTGGTTAAGTTAGTGAAATATTAGGTTTTGTACTCGGTGACCGGTGGGAAATGGCATAGTCAAATTTCATAAATTCTTCAATTAGACCTATTTACACATTTAAACTTAAAATAACATGTTACTGCAAATCCCCATACACTCCATTGTCAATAGGTTGTTTATTAATGTTTTCCTTTTAAAATTAAAAACTGCCTATCAAATTTGAGAAGAACTGAGTTAGACTGACCTTCCAGTGACTAACATAATTGCCAGAAGATGATTTGGGTATATCATCCAGCAAATCCAAGCCAAAAAAAACATTAAACATCAAAAAACACATTTTCATTTCAAAAACATTCAGCATGTCAGAGCAGGCAGACATAAACTGTGCCTTAAAACATAGTGCAGAATGTACTAGGGCAGTGCATACTGTGTGTGCATTCCGCAATAGGGGTCCATAATATATATGTACCCTGTCCATGATGAAAGACTCCACAATTCATACCCAAACTGGATTGGTTCGCCTCTGAAGATCCTTGCCTACCATAATACGGTATCATGCTTTCATCAATTGATAACCATTTTGTATGCCGTCCTTTTGTAAGACTAATTCAGTGCACTGAAGACGGGCCATACTTTGTAGAAAGGGTCGGTTTTCACCTCTGAGTTGTCCACCAGATGGTTTGAGGCCGTTATCTCAAAGAAATTCTTTCTCAATGCATTTGAGATTGCATCGTTGTAGACATCAGGGTCATTTGACAGACATGTGCCACAGAACTGTGATGTGAGAAGAACCCCATAGTAGGTCAGCAACTCATACATGTTTGGCTTGGTTTGCTCTATATAGGTATTTGACATTATTAATAATAATTATTCAATTAGGCAAGGCAAGGCAAGTTTATTTGTATAGCACACAGGGAAATTGAAAAAAATACACATTAAAATATAAGCTAACACTTTTATCCAAAAACTACTTACAATTGCTATAAATGGAGCAGGGTTAAGTGTCTAGCTCAGGAACACATTGGTGGTTGTGTCACATTGGAAATCTCTCACACCATAGGCAAGTGTCTTAGCCACTGCTCCGTCACCACCCCTCAATTGACATCTCAAAAGAATTGATTCTCATGAACATCTGCCTCATCCTCCAGATAGTTTACCTCTAGATTGCCATTCAATAGTCTCCCTATCTGAACTCCCTATCACTATCACAGTCACTTTCAAATGCCAGTTTTTCAAGTGTAGGAATGACCATGATGCTGCACCTATGTGCTGCACACTGCTGCACACAGCACATAGGTCACATATGTTTAGCCAGTCCAACACATCTGATCTGATTTCAAAATGTGTAAAAATAAACAAATGATAACTAGGATAACAGCCACAACCTGGGTTTTCCATTGAAGCACTGTATTATACTACCAGTTACAAATTTACCCCTCGTACGAGCAAAATATATCAGTAGTAGACCCTTAAAAGAATATGTGTACAAAATATAATAATTCTATCTAATCTGTTAATTAAGGTGTTTTACTTACTTCTTTTTGTAGTAGTCTGAGAAAGACATTTTCTTCCAGATGAGCAAGCAGGAAGCAAACTACTTTTCAGACTAGTCACATGATACTGATCTATTTTAATCAAAACAATCTATCTTTTCATTTAAAAGTGGAACTTCTTGCCCAAAGACAAACAATACAACTTTTAGAATCACAAATGTGACTGGTGGGATTAAATTTACTAGCAAAAAATTTAAAATTAAGTTAAAATTCACTGTGGTATTATATTTTCATTTGGTAGTGTGCATAACCCCTTTCTACAAATGGTATTGTAGACCAAAGTAATAGAAATTTTTCTGAGGTTACAGTTTATTATCTGTAGTGAATAAGATGGTCTATTCTTTTAAAAAATGTAAAATAACTCAAAAAACTACTCATGAGTGAGGTCAGCTTATGTTTAGCCAACTTAAACTACTTGGTTAAGGTTTGAAAAGATCACAACAAGATGCAAACCCTCAATCTGATATTTAAATCACACACTTTGCACATCTAACCATTATCCTTTCCTATGCCTTTCTGTGTGCTATAAGAATTGTTAAGAATGACATATTTAATATTGAGCTGTTTGAAAAAAAATGTCCTTGCTGTCATTATTCTTGGGAGAACATTCTCTGCATACCATGCAAACAAACTGTGATTGGATACTACATTACTAAGTCCTGTATACTACCATCAATAGGATTGATACAAAAACTTTTATATTGTACTCAAAAACCCTTTCTTGTGATGTTAGATCACGTTCTGGACATGAAAACGCCTCTTAGAGAATGCACTCTTTGCTGCACTGCTGCTGTTATGTGCAGCATTCACTTTGTTAGTTCAGGAAGAAACACACTTTGGAAGTGAAATAATGGCTGAACATAAGAGACGCATCATTTGGAGTTATTTCTAATGCATGTGATGAAGAAACAGTGACAACAGATGCAAATTAGCTGCTATGGAACTCTGGTGCAATTACTTTTTAACGCTCTCCCTGCAAAAATAACTTTATTTTATAATTAACTTAGAATAGTGAAAGGAAATGCTTAATGTTTGACAAATGTTTTGATGGTAATGAAAATTTATTCTACTGTATGTATCCTATTAATGATGCATGTAACTCATAAATCATACTACCTTGCTTTCTCCTCTCTCCTACATGACAGTACATTAGCTGCTTTTCATAATAAAAGTTTCACTATCATTACCTCACTATGACCTCTGTCTAACTCCAGGTGTAGCACTAATGTAATCTATGATGGCATAAAACACGCTTATTTAAACATTAGTTAAACAGCATTTTAGTGTTTGTTGAAACAGTTGAAATGTG